CACTCACGGTTGAAAGGGCAAGCATGTTTGGTGTGACAGAGATTCGAACCCGCGACCCACAGATCGCGAGTCGAGCGCCCTAACCGCTACAGTATTGAGTGGGCTAAGAAATTATCTAAGAAACTGATAACACGGACTACATTTTTTATGCTTAATTTAGATATTTATAAACCAACTTTATTTTCATAAAACAGACATAGAATACTTCGAATGGGTGGATTTCGTTGGATAAACTATGCGCCTATTCTGTTGAATGAAATAGTGTCCAATCATTGTAAGGCAGGATTTTTGATATCGTGCTATAATTCATTTGCTACATACAAGAAAAAAAAGTAAAAAAGGCAGTTTTTTGTATAACTCTCCAATAATTAGTAATTTAGGTAATTCTATTAAAAGATCGCAGAACTTCTAATGGAAAAACACTTTCTCCGGTTTTTACTAAATCGGGGCTCTTTAAGCAAATAATTATTCATTACAATGTGCCAGCTTCAAGCATATGAAACTTAAAACATGAAGATTAAAATGGCTTCTTGATGGCTCAACCAAAAATCGGGTTTCCATATCTGCGGTGGGCAGAGCGCAGATAGCCCAATGTGCAGCTCCGTGCTTAGAAACAAACAAATGAACAAAAAGACATGGAACTACACGTGCTTAGATATTTTTCAAGTAGTATTAGTTGTTTATATATACACACTAGTATCCTATATTTTTATCAGTCAGGATTTCAGAATTTAGAAACGTTGTATACAGAGTTTGAACTATTCTTATTTTACAATAAAAATGACAAAGAAACGTTGTATACAGTATCTGATCTATTCTTATTTTACACTAAAAATGACAAAGAAACGTTGTATACAGTATCTGATCTATTCTTATTTTACACTAAAAATGATAAAGAAACGTTGTATACAGAGTTTGAACTCTTCTTATTTTACACTAAAAATGACAAAGAAACGTTGTATACAGAGTTTGAACTATTCTTATTTTACACTAAAAATGACAAAGAAACGTTGTATACAGAGTTTGAACTCTTCTTATTTTACATTAAAAATGACAAAGATTGTTATCTTCGTGCATACAAATCACGAAAAATAAACTAATGCCGAAAAAAACCCAACTCAACTTAATTATACGTTATTATTAAAATTTTGGCGTCACTCATTTCACTTACATTGTATAAAATCCTGTAGCTGTTGAAATTCGGCAGGCGAAAGTTTTTCCCACTTTAGCGTCATCATTTGGACTGGCTCTAACAGACATCAAACAAGTCGGCATAACAAATAAAGAGGGCGCTGTGACAATAGGAACTGCCCACCCAGATTGCGGCACGAGCCAAGGCAGTTTGTAAAACAGTCTCACCAACCATCAGCTGTAGAAGAAGAGAAGCTGAACATAACATTGATGAGATGACAGTCAAAAATGATATATAATACCAACATATTAATAACGATCAGTTATGTCTAGCGACAAAAGTGCCAATTAGTAGAGCACTGCTATATTCATAACGGATGCTATTATTAACCGTCACTGATAAACCATATTTATTATACAATGTAGTTTTGGTAAAATAGTTGTGAAGCAAATTGGGCACACACACCCCAAGTTTAAACTTTCACGAATTTATCATAGATAATAACCAATAGTTTTAATCTAAGAAACATTATTTATTAGATTGTTCTTGAAATCTATTGATTACACTAAGAGATCCAAGGTGTATTATTGTTCAAGCACTACAATTTAAATATATTACAAGGTATCAAACAGGTGTTCAAGAAAGAAAGTTTTGCCTACTTTGCATCCAACTTGAGTGTACACCCAACGAAACTGTTACGTGACAAACCAACATTAAATTTTTCATTTATTTATAATAATTCCTCAAATATTAGCAAGCATTGAAACACACATTTTTTTTTGTTGTTGTTCAATTACTAGAGGCACGTAGAATCATAAATTATATAGTTTTCAGAACTCTTGTTATATGAAGGGAGAGAGTGGTGTTTGGTGGATAGCTAAGATTGTCTTTTCGGAAAAGGTTTTTTTTTTGCACTTTTCATGCTATCAAATTTCGGTTCTGTAAACGCCTAAGCCAAGTCTGTGGTAATCCTAAATGTTATGCCAATTATAAGAGGCACTAAATGAAAATGCATTAAACGTCGTAATAAAATTAAAAATATGTGTGAGATGAGAGTCTAGAGCAATCAAGTGCAAGAGGTTTAATTAATTCATAAGAGAATTCTTAAGGCGTATAATATCTCGAATACGATTTTCATACAATCACATATACACACATTCTTCGGGCCTCAGAGTCTAGATTCCATAACGTGAAAATACTTTTAACTAATAAAGAAAACTTAACATGCAAATAACTATCTCGTAAACAAGTTAAAATTCCTGATAAGACTTGAAACTAACGTTATATATATATATTAAAGGCAGTGCCCCCAGCAGGTGCTCGTGGGTGTGTCAGTCCAACCTCTTTAGTCGTATGTAAATATGTGGCACGTACATCTAGTAAATTGCGCGAAGAATGTCGTCTGACTGTCTTGTTAAAAAGATAATGACGATATGGTTGTCATAGCATGCGTAGCTGGCAGTCGCTGCTAATGCAGCAACTATAATGTCTACAGCTAATCAGTATCCGGTATCTTAGAAACCACGCCATTAAAATATCTGTGAATTGTGTTTATTTTGCTGTGTTTAATTTTTTGAAATTTAATACAACGGTCAGTTGTACTAAAATTCAGTAGACAACAGGTTGTCTCTTCAATACCAACCAAATGGAAATAGGTCAAGTTAAAATGGGAAAGAACACCGTCTCAGAACTCTTTAGTGTCTGCACAGACGTTGTGTTTTTCGCTCATTAAAGTTCATATAGTGCTATATGAAAACACTTGAAGTGCTTTTTCGACTACCACGCAAATACATATAATAGTTTATATACAAACAGAGTACGGGAATTCCCCTTATGGGCGTATGTAAAGTTATCTATCTGTCCATTAGCAAGAAAAAGTTTTCACAGCTCCGCCCAGAGATGGAAGGGTGAACATAACATAGTTATTTTCGAAAAGGAAGCAATTGATATTTTACTTACAACTTATATCAACCTGTCAAAAAGAACAAACATTAACAGACCCAATAAGAAACAAAGATTAACAGACCCAATAAGAAACAAAGATTAACAGACCCAATAAGAAACAACGATTAACAGACCCAATAAGAAACAAAGATTAACAGACCCAATAAGAAACAAAGATTAACAGACCCAATAAGAAACAAACATTAACAGACCCAATAAGAAACAAACATTAACAGACCCAATCAGAAACAAACATTAACAGACTCAATACGAAACAAACATTAACAGGCCCAATAAGAAACAAACATTAACAGGCTCAACAATAAACAACAATTAACAGACCCAATCAGGTCAAGAGTTAGGTTTTGATGTATGAATGGAGTTTGTGGACTTCAGGCTAGCAAAGTTTCATAATTTTGGACACTGTTTTATAATTTCTTATGTCAAAATACTCACGCGACTGTATACTAAAGCGCCATGTAGTTTGAACAAGCAGAATGACTAAACATACAAATCCGTTTTACAAGATAAATCAAGAACCTGTTCTGATTTTGCTGTTAAGCTTACATGATAACATAGACTTGCTTAGTCTTATCTAAAACTGTTTTACCAAGAAACAGCAGAGTATAGACTTTCTAAATACATTCTTCGAAACTGCTCATGTACCAGTACTTGTAGTGCATACTAGAGGGATTGTTTGTAATTAAGCACGAAGCTACACAATGGGCTATCTGTGCTCTGCCAACCACCGGTATCGAAACCCGGATTCTAGAGTTGTAAGTCCGCAGACATACCGCTCTGCCACTGGGGGGGGGGGGGGGTTACTAGAGGGATTTACTGATTTTAGCTATAAAGCTAGAAAAAACTATTTTTTAGTCTCCAAATAATAATAAAAGAACTTTTTATTTCAACTGATGAAGCAGTGATTGTGCAATGATGACTAGAATAAAACGTTGTTTTTTCTGTCATTATCTGGAGAGTAAAGATAGTTTTTTTTAACTTTATTCATGTATAAAATTGCTTATGGGTTCTCGGTTACATATAAGTCACACAGAAAAATGCAAACAAAAATACCATCACATATTACAATTAATCATACGACAATGAACTGCATACTGGAGTCCTCTATGTATTTTACATAGGAAATGTGGGCTCCCATTCAATATTTTTATTCAGTTCGTTACACCGAATATCGTAACAATCAAAAAATAAATATAACTGCTCAATGTAATTCAATTTTGTGAACCCTATTGGTAGTGAGATGCATAAAAACAAGTTGATAATTTGAGCATTAACCATTCAACATGGCACCAGTAAACAAGACATGCAAACAAAACAAATGAAAGGGAACAATGACATCCTCAAAGTGAAGACAAAATGAAAGGCGAAATGAGTACTAAATGTATGGGCTTTTAAAGGACAGGGTAAAATAATTATGATAACAAATAAATGATTAACAAAAAAAAGAAGAACTAATGAAAATAATACAATTTCAAATGAATGAGAAAATGGTTCTAAGTTTTAAAAGAAAAAAGTAGTGCTAGCTAAGATATAATAACGAGACAAGTTACGCAATTTTGGAGGTTTTAATTAGGAACAGTGCCCCACTTTTGTATCATAAAACGATCATTGTTTATACCATTAAGATGTTATCAGGCTATGATTTTGAGATTTTATATAATATACAATATGGCTGTTAAAAAGAGGTCTCGGTCCTCAACTACGAGATTTTTTACAAGGCTACATAGAGGCAGTGTTTGATAAATCGTACAGTGGACATGACTCTTTGAATCAAACCTCCTGTCCGTTATCGTCTGCTTTGTTTTAACTTGCTTCTAGTAGAGTAGTAATTGAAAGAGTGGGAAACAATTCATCTTTTTTTGCAACACGTTTTTGAAATGAAAGGTAGATGTTAATGGTTTAAAGTTACGCGTCTATAAACATGAGATTAATTTTCTTTACAGACGCTAAACGATCTGCTATGAAATAGCTTCTATCTACAACACGCATTTTTTGTTGTTGCCCAATGTAATATATAGGCACTAAAAAGTTCCTTTGTGAAACGCCTAATGCTCCTCGTAAGTTTCGTTATTACACTCTAATTACGAAATCTTACAAAAAATCAAATTGTATCCTTCCACTATATGCTTGACGATTTTTCGATTGTGTTTCTTCCAAAATAAACCAAGTATTCATTGATGTGAAGACAAAAAGTAAGGATCAAAACTTCACAAGCATTAGACCACTGTTATCTCTGAGTTTTAAACTCTTAAAAGTTAGCTGTTTATATAGAAAACTAAAACCTAAACTAGGAAACATGAATTCTAAATATACACTCATTGAAACAAAGCAAAGCGAGCGTACAAGTCAAAAATAAAATTATATTGTTAGTCGAAAGTTTGTTTGTTTGTTTGTAATTAAGCACTAAGCTACACAATGGGCTAGCTGTGCTCTGCCCACCACGGGTATCGAAACCCAGAGTCTAGCATTGTAAATCCGCAGACATACCACTATGCCACTGGGGGGAGGGGGGGCTAGTCGAAAGTTAAAGCAATCTCAGACGTATTATAAAACGTGTTTATTGTGACCTTATCATAAAACGTGTTCATTATTATTTTTAATGATTTTCAGGACAAATGAAATAATTTCTGTCATGAACTGGATATACATTGATTGTACTCAACCTAATTTTATTATTTTTATCATTATTGCCAAATACGTGCGGTTAGTATTATCAAGCTCTCCTAATTAAAATAACTTCATTGAAAATCCAATAATGGTGCTGATCTTATTTTTAAGTTTCTTTTTGGGAAAGGCGTGGTCCAGTATTTAACGTGCCCAAACTGTCAGTCCAAGAGTTTATGGCTAGTGTTCCATTGCCGCAAGACCGCGATCTAAACTTTGGGACGATGGATAAACTATAAAAGAGACGATCAAACAAGAGTAGCCTAATAGTTGACAGTTGGTGCTGTTCACTAACTGTTTTCCCTCTAATCTGTCAGTTCAAAATTATCGACTGCTAGAGCAGATGGCTCTAGTGTAAAATTATCGACTGCTAGAGCAGATGGCTCTAGTGTAAAATTATCGACTGCTAGAGCAGATGGCTCTAGTGTAAAATTATCGAATGCTAGAGCAGATGGCTCTAGTGTAAAATTATCGACTGCTAGAGCAGATGGCTCTAGTGTAAAATTATCGAATGCTAGAGCAGATGGCTCTAGTGTAAAATTATCGAATGCTAGAGCAGATGGCTCTAGTGTAAAATTATCGACTGCTAGAGCAGATGGCTCTAGTGT